GGCTATTTAGTTTTCTTAATAAAAGAACAAGTTATAGACCTGTTCTATAGGAAAGGTAACTTTAAATTACTTCTGTTGTGATCTGGTGCTATAGAGAAAATATAATTAGATAAAATTTTATTTTTAAATTAAAGCGGGCCGCCCCCCTAATATAATGGCAGGGGAAACACTGGGTACATCAGACGTTTAATGAGGCTCAGAGGTGGCATGAGTGCAATTAAAGTCATACATTCATGTTGAGATTATCGTTTTAAATATCAAATTTTGAATATAGAAATATTAAATTATTTAAATAACTTATAAAATTATAAGTTAAAAAATGAAACTAAAACCGCCAGCAGGTGGCGGCAAGTCACTGATTTTATCACTGAATCATTCATTCCATTGATTCGTTTGAACGGCTGATTCATTCAGGAATGAAGCAAGTGACAGTCCCTGCGTCCCAATGAGCATACTATCCACCCTATTTGCCCTAAATAGTACTGAAAATTACTAATATCACATATAACTTAAGATGGATAGTATACACATTGGCAGTACTGCCTCTCCCTATACGCAGAGTACGCGGTTCACCATCCCAGTTGCTCAAAAAAAAAAATCATTCTATATTAATATTAACATATGCATATAATACAAATATAAACATGATCATATATACATAAATATAAAAAATGCATTTTACGGTGAATGCAGTAGTCAGTAGGCTAAGCACACGTGACGCACCATTCCCGCATCCGCGCCTGACCTCACCTCATGTTTGCAGCTGACTGCAAATGATCATAATTTATGGACAACTATGCCCATGAAAAAAAGACATCAGCAGTACGGCGCCGAGAAAAGAAAAAGTAAAAAAGCCCAAGATGAAAGCCTGTGCATCCCTATCAGGTATGTTCAAAATCCTGTGTAACTTTTTTGGCTGTTGAAGTTAATAGCGTTCATAAACGTTAATTAATGTTTTAATTATCATATGATGGGCTCATTGATGACTTCGCCTCCAGAAAAAGCAAGAGTGTGCCTTTGTAAATTTTGAAATTTGGAATGCTCCAGCAGATGACGTATATCAGCGTTGATTTTCGGAGTGTCTATTTACACTAAGTGCAAATATCCCACCTTGTTGGCAGAAGCTATTAACACTAACTCCGCCCACCTACGTGTGATTGGGCTAGTCAACACTAAAAAGACTATTGGCAAGCATCAGCTTCGGAGCGGTATTCAAGGCTTAGTGTATCCCATCATGCATCATGTTCTGGAAATAAATCACGAGAGGTCACAGAAACCTTTCCAATGTAAGTTAAATATTAATAATAATTAGATATTACCGTAATGACCCGAATATAAGACGACCCCCCTTTTCCCAGATGTACCTTTTGGAAAAAGGCTTTTTAAAAACCAAATCTAGTTTTTTCTCAGTAAAACACATTTTGTCTTCAATTATTTTCAAATTGCATATTTTTCCTATTTTAATTTTTGTTTTGAAAGTATGGTAAAAACTGGTAAAATGTACCAACAATCACATTAAAAAAAATATACACTTTTTGATATACCATTAAAAAAAAAAAAAAAAAAACGGTAGCCCATCTGAATTAGGACATTTAGGCTATCCATCTAATAATAGCCTACCAAAATCGTATTAACAGTAGAAGTTAAATCTTACTGTAGTCTTCAAATCTGGGTACTGTGTTACGTTTTAAAATCACAAAGGGAGTTTGGTCCCATCAGGCTAACGTGACAGTCACGACTCATGCAGCTGTAAGGTTTTCTTTTGTTTTTACTCGCGACCTTTACAACACGCATTACATTACGTATTTCATGGCACACTCGTTTTATGCGTATTTGGCGCCACCTATTGTTGTGGGTGTATTATTGACATGTCTAGACCCTGAATATAAGACGACCGCGTTTTTTCAGATGTATTTCCAAGAAAAAAACATCGTCTTATATTCGGGTCAATACGGTACATATAATTTGGTAGTAAAACAAAGTGCTACACATTTTATTGCTGCAAAGATTAGTATATTTATTTCTGAACAACATTTGCAACTGCTTTTTATCACTTAATTAAATTGTGTCATCTATTATAGGGACTACTGATCAGACATTTAGAAGTTGATTTTAAAATGCAAAGTAAACTCTGTAAACACTGTAAAAAAACACGTTTTTACAACATTAGTGTGTCCCATCAGGTAATGAAACGTTGTACACACATTTGTGGTCTTCATGCTCACTTGAACACTTGGGCCAAATACAGGAAATACGTCATATAAGTAGTCAAGTGATCAAGTGCAGAGACCGCAAGTGTGGGTATTTGGACAAGGCATTGCTGCGTCTCAATGTGCCTACTTATACTATGCCCTTAAAGTATGTACTCTTTTGGTGAAGAAAGAGTTTTTGAGTGTGTAGTGTGTAAGAGACACTTTTGAGTGTGTAGTAGAAGAGTAGGCAAGCTTTGGGACATACCATCACGTCACACAACTGCGTCTTTAACAGACGCTCTGTCGCATAGATACACGCGCACCCTGTCACTGTAAACTGGCCTGTCAAACATCTTTTCACAGTTAACATCCTCCACATTGCATTTCATTGAACTTCCTACCGTATTGGGGAGAAAAGAAGCAGCACATTGATCTGCCAGTCGCGGGACTTTCATGCCGAGAACTCTGCTCATGCATTTAAAAATTAACGACCAAACTGATGTTTTTTTTAAAGTTTACATTGCTGTTGCAGTTGAAATATATCACAGATAACATTAAATAAATATTTTTTACCAGGTTAAATGTTGAATATTAGTAACTCAAACCCCTTTTTCTTAGCCTCTCTACCTAACCGCCGGTCGCACACATCCGCCATGTTTGTAGTTTTAACGCGTTTTATTCGTGTTTGTAGTTCTGGACAGAATCCTTCACCACAGTGCAATGGATTGTGGGCAATATTAGAGTGTGCACGGATCCACACTTCAAAAATCGACCTGAAATAGTAGACCATCCAGGGACTTTTGGCATATTCTTTTCAACATACCATGCTTTGGGACACACTTGTTCTAATCTCACATACTATTTAGGATGGATAGTATGAACATTGAGGCCCTGTCCCAAATGGAACACTTCATGTGCACTTTCGGTCTTGCGGACTTATGGCCGCCGCATGCCCAGTAGCACCATACGTATCCCTTCTAGCCTTAACCAAAGACCGCAAGGGTTTAGGATGCGATTTGGGACAGGGCCTGAGACGCAAGATGAGTGTCGTGGCTTGTATCAAATCTCCGTGATCATGTGACCAATGCCGTTTGAGGCTTCATACGTCACAATGAAACACCTGAAGCAAGGTGACTGATTTGAATCTTTGGCGTGGCTTCATTCATTATAAGGAGATGCGAAATGCTTGGTGTTCCCTCCCTGCTTCATAGTAACACGTTCATGTGTGGACAGTGATTCTCAGAATGAAGACACAGCTGCTATGAGTATTGCTTTTGTGTTGAAACTAGAATCAACAAGATGTGTGAATAATTTGAAAGTGGCTGATATAATTGCAGGTGACCACTAGATGCCACTGGTAGGGTCTGTCTTTGAGGCTTTGAATCTTTTTTGGTACAATCAGGAAAAAGCCTCAAAAGCTTCAGAAGGCTTCATCTGCCCATCTCTAGTAAAGTGCCAAACTAAACAATTATACCAATATCAAGTATGATAAATATAAAATACCAAAGGAATACCAAACTTTATACTACATATAAAGTATTTGGTAATGCCTTGGTGTTTTAGTTGGATGCCATGCTACTTGTCTTTAAAATCTTACAAATGTATTATAGTAAAATGTATACTATAGTACATTTATAAACTTACTATATTTAGTTATAGCTGTTCCAGGAAAAACATGTTGTTATAGTTAATGATTCCAATAAATCGACCACATTTTACTCCCAAAATTCACAAACGTTTTACGAACCAGTTCAACTGAATCAATAAAATGATTCAAAAGAGTGATTCTTTATTCGATTCTTTTATCGAATATCATCAGCAGGAGAAGAGCGAAGGAGCGAGTTTGTGACAACCAGTGTTGGGGAAAGTTACTTTTAAAAGTAATGCATTACAATATTGCATTACTCCATAAAAAAGTAACTAATTACGTTACTTAGTTATGGAAAGTAATGCGTTACGTTACTTTTGTGCTACTTTTTAAATCTGGACAGGGCTTGCTTGTTTGTTTTTAAAATAAAACAAGTTATATTTCTGGCAAATATAAAAGCCTTTCACAGCAAAGCGAAATGAATAAGCCTCAGGCTGAAGGGAAAGTAAATTTACGTCCGTACAGTAGAATGCAGAAGAAGAAATTTCAACACTTCAGCAATAAAAAAAGACACACATGTCTGTCTAGAGTAATTTCTGCTTATTTGTATGGTTGAACTGGATCATTGAAGGTCAGAAGCAAAGACATTGCTTAATAGAATGGGATTAAATACATAAAGCATATTTGTGTTGTTTAACATTTAATTATTGCAGGTTTGCGTCATATTCTGAGTTGCATTATTTTTATTCATTTTGAGGAATACTGAATCTGTGTGGGGTTTTTTTGTGAGTGAGATGAATGAATGCATATTCATATTTATTTTAGAACTGCAGTAACATCTGCTTTCTCTCAACATGGGGACAGGAGAGCTGTCAATCAATAAATAAAAAAAACTTGCGTTACTTATTTGAAAAAGTAACTCAGATATTCTCTTGTAAATTAAAAAGTAATGCGTTACTTTACTAGTTACTTGAAAAAAGTAATCGGATTACGTATCTTTAAGCATTACTTGTAATATATTACCCCCAACACTGGTGACAACACACTCATTTACCTCATATTTACTGTAAGCAAGACTGTAGGGGCGGGTCATGTCCAATATCAAGCTCATGACAGAAAATATCAGCGTGAGATACTGCTGCTTGTGGTTATTCGTGTAATGCTCCCTTCATTATTAACATTTCAATTCATGCATACTGATCAACTGTACTCATTGTTACCGGACGGTGGAGTCGCTGATTGGGCTTCGTCTGCTGCTCCAGGTGGGGCAGGTGCCGTCTCAAATTGGGGTGTGCGATCGTCAAAATGCAGGTTTCTGCTGCCAGGTATATCTGGAGGTGTGGTGACCCAGTGCTGGAGGTCAGAGCTAGATGAATTATTGAATGACCTGCCCGAATAGCCCCCGCTGAATGACGGATCCTCTCTGCCCCTGTAACCCAAGCCCTCAAAGCTGTCCGGACGACGAGAAGTCATGCTGGGAATCACTTGGGAAACTACACTGAAATGACAAGATATCTCAGTCTGACTTCCTACGATTTATGACCTATGTGATGTGATACGATGTCATTGAAAACTTCAACAATCGAAAAATGCGAAAATTAATTTCTGGTTGACCGAGGCTGCTAGCAAGGATAGTGCTTTAGCAAAACAACCCAGCACCCGCATGAGTGACTTTTGTCGGTTGACAGTTTACTTCCGGTTTGAATGAGGACTTATGGGTTATGTAGTTTATTCATTAACATAGATACAGTGCAACTTCCTGAATTCACAGGAAACAGTTTACTTTGGGGCCTATATGTGATCCTGGACCACAAAAGCAGTCTTTAAGTCCCTGGGGTATATTTGTAGCAATAGCCAAAGATACATTGTATGGGTCAAAATTATAGATTTTTCTTTTATGTCAAAAATCATTAGGATATTAAGTAAAGATCATGTTCCATGAAGATATTTTGTAAGTTTCCTACCGTAAATATATCAAAACTTAATTTTTGCCCCTGTAACCCAAGCCCTCAAAGCTGTCCGGACGACGAGAAGTCATGCTGGGAATCACTTGGGAAACTACACTGAAATGACAAGATATCTCAGTCTGACTTCCTACGATTTATGACCTATGTGATGTGATACGATGTCATTGAAAACTTCAACAATCGAAAAATGCGAAAATTAATTTCTGGTTGACCGAGGCTGCTAGCAAGGATAGTGCTTTAGCAAAACAACCCAGCACCCGCATGAGTGACTTTTGTCGGTTGACAGTTTACTTCCGGTTTGAATGAGGACTTATGGGTTATGTAGTTTATTCATTAACATAGATACAGTGCAACTTCCTGAATTCACAGGAAACAGTTTACTTTGGGGCCTATATGTGATCCTGGACCACAAAAGCAGTCTTTAAGTCCCTGGGGTATATTTGTAGCAATAGCCAAAGATACATTGTATGGGTCAAAATTATAGATTTTTCTTTTATGTCAAAAATCATTAGGATATTAAGTAAAGATCATGTTCCATGAAGATATTTTGTAAGTTTCCTACCGTAAATATATCAAAACTTAATTTTTGATTAGTAATATGCATTGCTAAGAACTTCATTTGGACAACTTTGATTTTCTCAATATTTGTATTATTATTATTATTATTTGCACCCTCAGCTTCCAGATATTCAAATAATTGTATCTCAGCCAAATACTGTCCTATCCTAACAAACCATGCATCAATGGAAAGCTTATTTCAGCATTCAGATTATGTATAAATCTCAGTTTGAAAAAATTCACCCTTATGACTGGTTTTGTGGTCCAGGATCACATATTGTGTTCACCATTGTGATGTAAAAGATAAGACAGAAAAAGTGTATTTTTGTATAAAATAACATTCAATATAAAAATATACTACGTCTAGGATAAAGATAGGCATCAATAACAGATAAATACAAATTATAACCAATTTAATAACAAATACTAAGAATTACGAAATCCTACAAGTGCTATCCTGATTTATTTATGGCCTCTGAGTATGATAAAGTAATATAAAGTAATGACCGAATGACTCTTACGAGCCTGATCTTTTTAGTGATTCAAAAAGCACTTATGGTGAATTAATCTGAATCACCTTTAAGTCTAAATTTATGTATTTCTTTGTTTACTGAAATAAATAAACCTCGGACCTAGAGGACATTGTTTTGTAAATTATAGTTAAGAACAAAATACACAATGTATTATAGAAATACCATAATCCATGCAGAAGCAAAGGGAGATGAGGGCGCCCTCTTCTGTTGATGAATGTGTTTACACCGGTTTGAGATGCTGCAGCAGCAGCAGCAGCCGCTCAGGAGCCGCGGGGCCTGCGGTAGGATAATGCTTTTACATATCAAAACACAGTATCTCAATAATGACACGTCAATGTACGGTAGTTCAAATGCTGTAGAAACACGTATGTTGCGTATGAAGGTAGATAAATACGTAGATAAGGAGATCTTTGCCGTCTTAAAAAGTTGTTTACTTGCAGTAGCATCTGCTGGATAGCTTGCAAGCTACACGATGTTGAGTTTTATATTTAAAACAATACATTTCATTGTTGTTTACTGCCACTTTGGTGTAATTATAAAGTGTCCTGTAGTTATAATTGTAAACATCCATGTGGTCAGTTTTGTGTTGGCTGTGACATTGAGGCTGATCTGGGCTGAAGGGTAACGTACATTATTATTAGTAGTAGTAGTAACGTTACGTGCGGCTGGCAGGTTGTTCATCTGATTTTGAGCTTCATAGGATCTTTCATGTCTCCGATTGCAAATCTACCAGCCATCTTTTGGTAGACGTACCATTAACATATTTACATTGAGAAAGACTGGATCATAATATTGAATTCAATAGAAGTCAGTGTAACTTAAGTAAGTACTCGCCTCACAACGTTGGTATCATATGATTACGTTCTACAGCTTTAATATGAGTTAAAAGCACTCATTAATTTATGCCTTTATCCTGTACACATTCAAAGCAAAAGTTTGTGGGATTTACATTGTATTTGTGTACTTGAAGTCAGTTAAGTCCTTTTTACTAAAATATTTTGTTGATAGTCTTCGGCGTACTGCTTCAGTGAAATCAGGTGGATGACATATTTTCAAGATTAAATAGTCACACAAAATATGATATGTTGGGTGTCATCACTGTTGCATGTTTGTAATTTAACAAATCAAGCGTGTCTCAGTTGTCCCTAACTGTATTTCAGTAATATTGCATCCTTGTGACTTCGTATCTGAGTAAACATATATGAACAATGTCTCTGTGTTTCCATTAGATACTGTTGGTTGATGTGAATCGACGAGTCTCCAGATGTAGTTGAAGCAAGCGACAAAACTCTCGTGAAGCCAACAAGGAAGTGACTTAAACTGTAATTCATCGACTGACCGCTAGAGGCTGGCTGCAAAAGGGAGTCAATCCCATAGACTCCCCATGTTAAAATGCCCAACTTTACAGCAGAAAAAAACGTTTACAGCCTGGTTCAAAAAATTATTTTGGTCTATATAGCTAATTTTGCCCTTCATGACAACTGTGAGGGGGGTGAATTTTTTTATAAGTCATCCGTTTAAATTATATTAAGCCTTAAATTTCAGCATAATTAAGGGCGTGGCCACTTGAGTGACAGGTGGATTGCAGCTGCTGTCACCACCGTCGAGCTAGGTGGGTGTGGTTTCAGCAACCAGCTCCCGCCTTTTTGCCCATTTTCGATTATTTGGGAGTGACACGAGGTGACGCGCTACCAAGATGGTGAAGGCCGGCTCCGCCCACTTTGAGCTTCAAAAACCTCTTCAGGAACCTACGGGTGACGTCACGGACACTACGTCCATGTTTTTATACAGTCTATGAGTTGAAGGAGCGTCACGTTGCCCCCACTGGTCCACATACCCCCCTCCCCCCCCCTGCATGGCTTCTCTTGCTGGTGTCTCAGACCGCGTCTCTATATCCCCAGTCCTGCACACCTTCATGCTGGGGTCTCAGGCCTCTCACAGGCTGACCAATGACTGCCTGGATTGTTCTGCCTGTCAGCCTGTCCGCTTTCTCCATCACTGGGATATGGATTGTGTAAGTGTTTATGTTAAATGGATAGTTGGAGCCAGAAGTTTTACATTAAATTTAATATAGCCTGTCTCTACTGTTTTTCTTTTACTACACTGTAAAAAATGACCGTGAATTTAACGGTAAAAGACTGTAAAAATGCTACAGTAAAAACCTGTTAAATAGTTAACGGTAAATTCCCCTACTGTATACGGTGAAAAACTGTATTGGACATTACGTGTATTGGACATAAATTTTACGGTAGTATACCATTTTTGGAAGTGAAAAATACAGTATAATTTACAGTGAATAACCGTAAATTGACATTCCCAGAATTCCCTGTTACATTTCAAATTTGATGTTTTTTTGTTGAAATAACTATGTTTCTTCTTAGTTTTTTTCTTATCAGTTTTGTATATTAAAGTACACCTAACGTTGTTAAATTAATGTTTATTGCATTATTTGAGTTTCATGTGTGTTACAATGATGGTGTTTAGTGTTTGTGTGAATGACACTGTGCACCTTCTATATATGTTATTATTTAAAGGCTGCTTGTGATGGGCTTTGGTTCATCATGTGACTTTCTCATCACCACCTGCATTTGGTGGTTATCAGTATATTACAAAGATACAAAACAGATTTCAGTACTTCAATAGATTGGTATATTATATCAGTTAATGAAATTACGGTATTTAACTGTAAATTTAAGTTAAAACCGTAAAACCTAAAACATTGCTACCGTATTTTTTACGGTAAAATTCCGGCAACCACAGCTGCCGGTTTTTTACCATAAATTTTACGGATTTTTTTTTTACAGTGTATATACAGACAAGTCATGTACTTATTAACAAATAACCATCAAATATTTTGTTCACTAGTTACGCCATGGCAGTTGTGAACCACCATGTCTGTCCTGTTGAGAACTGGTAAGTTATCCCTATAAAGCCTACTGCATTATATTTGATACACACATTTCTAGCCTTTAACTTATCAATATAATTGAAAATTGCTGAGAAATGTGTTGTACACAATCCACTTAATGTCTTCTGTCATCTGATATTTTGTACCCATTTTAGCAAGTAAATAGCTTTTTAGTGTAATTCTAAGTATATTCCCTTTTCAGGTCAGGGTACACGTCTTTTTGCTATAAAATCTGATTATTACATAAAAATACGAGTAACTTTTACATTGTTAGTAGTATTTCAAGATAAACGTTTATTTTACTGAAGCATCTTAGGTTTACTTGATTATCCATACATTCAAACATACAAAAATCATGTTAAAATGTGCATATTAAATATGATACATTAGGTGGTTGAGGATTTGTACACGTCTCAGTCATCACTGTTTTGCATTGCATTATACGTTTTACCCTCACAGTAAAAACAACAGGGCTTTGATCATAAAAAGTAAGTAGTTAAATATAATTTTGCTAAGACATTTATAAGGTGACAACTGATATTTAAATGCATTTTATGTTTTCTTTTTTTAATTGCAAGCTATCAGAATTTACTTTTTGGCCATATAAATATCAGCACCTTCACCAAAAAAAACACCACTATTATTTTATAAGTCATGCTTTACGGAGTTAAATCCCAAATCCAAAAAACCCACATACTGTTTTAGACTGTTCTTT